TGGCTTGGCGACGTGCTGCGTATGCCAATCGACCGACTTCCTCGAAGGGCTCTTTTCGCCCAACCATGTGAAGGGTGGAAGAGAGCCAGAGGCGGTGAAAGAATGACTTGGCAGCGAAGTGTGAAAGCCATTACCAGCAAACTCAGCTGCGGTGGTAATTGCGGTCTTCCTGGATGGGGACCCCGAGACGGGCCACATCAATGGCTGGAGACATTGTCAGACATGGCCCAGTCGCGCCCTCAATGGCGCTCGTGCATCCAAGCTATTGCCTTCAATGCATAGCTGCTTTTCCAACCCCCCTCCACTTGACAGCCCACTGACAGTGCTGGATTTATGCACCAACTTACCAGCTCGCGCCTGCAATGCGCAGCTACCTACCCCCTCCCACAAATCATCGGTGAACGAAACTGCGGCAGCTGCAACCATTGTACGACGAGTACGCGGTTATTACAGCTAACAGTGATGATGATGATGATGACTCGTGTCACGTGTCGGATGTTCGGAGATCAAAGCCTGGCACCGCTTTGAGTGGATTCACCAGAATAAGTGAAAATTCTCGATGCTGAACTTCGTAACTGGCGTCTGCCGTAAGACGAAAGGGTACATCCTAGCTGCTCTAAATGTGTGACTTAAGCGAATTACGGGCAGAGTCTGTTCCAATTTCAGTCATGTTAATATGAAATAGATTGAACTGCGCATGGTCAGAGACCGGCCAACCATTAGTGTGATCTGTGTATTTGCGGTTACTGGGGGTCCTGGCAACTTGAAGATTTCCTATGCAGGATGCGAGGATGAATTTCGAAAGAATCACAACATGCGCAACCGCCAAGCTTGCTGGCATGGTGGGAGGTTCATCAACCTTACAAGCCTTGTAGAAGCGTTCGTTGTTAGCATGGTCAGTTAGATCGTGAGCCCGGGGCTGACTGTCGTAGTCTAAAAATTGTAGTCAAGCTCTACGTGCATTGCATTTTGACAAGCGTAATGTTTCACTACCTCTTCTACGTTTCCACTCCAGATTTACTTCATTTCTATGGTTACAGGGAAGAAATTGGTGACAGGCTATCCTGCATGTTTTTCATTCCAAGAGTCCCAATGCTCCTCACCTACCAAGAAATTTTGGATGACTTGTGTTCATGGTAAGTTGTAAGGTGGTAGAATGATGCAAATGCAACTTTTCTATTACTCCTTTGAGTTAAGTAATTTGTTAGACTCTTCACAATAGCCCCTCACCTCATGACCCAGATACTTCATCGACTGATCCTCATAGCTACTGACCGATTCGAAGCGATGTCTGGTGTTCACTGCTGATCATCCTTATCCAGTCCATGTCTTACAGCCTTCAGCCTGGTTTAACTAGATGCTGTCTTCATCCTAGTTGTGGTTCACGAAATACGTTCTATGGTTTCCCACTTTGAGCTACGAACAATCCACTCCTAGTGATTGTATCATAAAAACTAATTGGAATTTTCGGTATGTGCTGTGCACATGTTTCTCACAATTTCTTGCTTGATCATCTGTTATTCCACCTCGAATGTTGTGAACTCAGTCCGTGCTGAAAAGCCAAGGTGCACTGTGCATAACCCATTTTCCGTTCCTGTCTTCAGGCGTTCCTTCGACTCATCCGATTCTACTACTTTACCGGAATCCTTTCTTCGCAGAGGATTGTGTGCCTGGCTATCCGCCCTCACACACTCCAGCAGATCAGTTCGTCGTTTGGCCTTGACCTCGGAACTTGGTGATGCGGACGCTGTTGCTGGCCACCCTACTGTTGCCCGTCTTTGGAACATGTCCAGTCTTGTAAAGGATCTCTCATCAGCTCTGCCAGCTGCTGACGGAAATCATGATCGAGACAGCGCTTCCGAACCCGCCATTCCAATCAACCGTTTAGACAGTCTCGAAACCCCGGGTCAAGTCATTCGCAGCAATTCCTTGCTACTTGGAGATTTGATTTCCGCACTACTTGAAGGGCTTACACGTGATATAGACGAACGAATGCGATTGCTGTATGCACAGTGGTTGGGCAATTTGGGAGCCATTGATCCCGGAAGGTAACATTACGCTTGAGCCTTGTGGATTGAATGCATCACCTGAACACAAGACGCCGCTCCTAATCCGTTCCATTTTTCTTTATAGGATATGCCTCTCTATGTGTGTTACTTCTTCCATGACGGGGTCTACTCAAATGACTCATGTGAACGACCCATCTTTTTCGTTCTTTATGCTGTGTGAATTGGCGAAAATTTATCTCCGTGCGGCTAGTCCAAAGCAACTGGTAAGCGTTTTCTCTTATTGTGCTTTATTGATTGGTCTTCGTGAGTAGAATAGGCAATTCTGACTTAGTATCCACTCCTTTTGCATCGTATGTTTCATTCTCTAGGGCTTCACGAACCACGTGACAAAGGGAATTATTGCTTTTGAAGTCCACGCAATCTAAACAAGGCAGTTTGGAACTTATTTCGATAAATTCACTTTTTCTTTAAATTTTGGGTTTTATTTAGCAGACTGAAACCCATTGGTAAATTCAGGACACAAGTTAGCGAACATGAATCTTTTCGAACATTACAGGCGAGTGAGACAACATTAAATTGGAGTCTTTGGTTAACATCGTAAAAACTTTTACGTCACTATCAATTTGCCTGTGTGACCGGGGGTCACATGATCGGACGATGTACCTCTTAATTCGCGTGAAAAAGCCTTATGATGGTATACATTCTGAATGCAACTGCCTAACCTGTGACAAAAAGCTGATATTGATAAAATCTCCGTAGACAGGCAAGCGCTGGTACAGCATTCTCTAAACGACTTCAGAATTAAGCGCGTGACTTGAATCAGCCAAGTGAACCACCGATGCACTTTTAGTTGACTTCAGGGTTGTTCAGGGCAAAGCAAACAATGGGACAATTTTGCCTGTTCATTATACCCAGCCTGGTTAATAGGGGTGCTTGGGCAGTACTTCAGTTATCGTTGTCTATGTCATTTTTCCTTTTCTCTACGAGGATTCCACTGCCTTGGCCATTCAAGAACTTCTGAAACTGTTCCGAATACCCGAGGGAGGAAAACCCACAGGGGCCGGTTTATCGTCAGCCGAAGTTGCTGATACAACCAATAAGGTGACAGAAGATGTTGCAGCGATGCCCTTTGTCTCTGGAACTGATCTGTGGAAGCTGTTCCCAGATCATTTGTGTGACTTATTCGCCCCGTTGACCACATCACGGTGAGTATAACAGATGAAGCTGTGTTTTGCATCGATCTGTCTTGTCGTATGTGTCCAAGTTAACTGGTGTCTGCTAAAGACAGCATTTAATTGCGCTACATGAGGATCCGAATTCTTGCTGGTTGATTGGGTTTTCACAGCTTAGTTAAGCATTACTCATCTATCTTAATTCACCCACTCCTAACTCTACTGTTGTAGTCTCATAGCTACGACTTTTGTTTTCCCTTCACCTAGAGCATCTCTTCCCTCCAAACTAAAAATTAGATACGTGACAAAGCCGATCGTAACTGAGACAGCTACTCAATGCATGTGTTATCTGTCTTCTAAATAAGTTTTCGTCGTAAAGGAAACTACTCATAAGGTTGCTGAAAACTCTTCGACAGCCCACGATCGGTTTCATTCTTCTTGGGGCTCATCGGGTAGGCGCAGCCCAAATTGATTTGCAAATGAGTGTATTTTTCGAAAGTTTTCGTCGTATTTCCCATGGCAGTCGTTTTCACAACCATTCTAGTGTATGCTCTGGGTGTTACCGAACCCTCCCTGTCTTCGAAAGCACTCGCACCTATTTCTTAGGGATATTATTTAGTTGCAGTTTCATTCAGAAATGTTGGAGGAAATCAAGGCAACCACTGTTACCAACCACTGTTACACCAGTTATAAACACACTTACACGTATCCAGTCACTTCACTCCATGGATAGTGTGTTCATCTAGCCCAACAAGCTACCGCGGTACATTTTTAGTTAAACTGCTTGTCCTGAATGAGTACTGCTCACTGCATTTCACTTTACCGATATAGAACGAAATGAATTTAATGTAGCGATTGAAAATCACAGCGTTTCTCAATTTGATTGTGCTTTCCCGCCTGACTGTCGAAGTGAAATGTTTTCCGCTGGGTTATCAGAATATTTTCTCACCACAGTGATTTTTTTTACTGCGACAGAAATAACTTGTTAAGCCTGTGGCCTTAAATATGCCCTAGAGGTTCATGATGATGATCTTTGACAAGCGTGGATCAGCTTTACTTTTGTACTTCATAGTATAGGTTCAGCTCAGGATGAACTCCAGATGTCAGATTTCAAAATCTTCCGACTCTACGGACTAATTTTTGCAGCGTCACTTGAATTTCATTACATTTACCTTCTTGGTACCAGTATATTTGTTATCTCCTAATACCGTTTGAACTCACTCCCGTCAAAATCAAAGTATCTTCTTGTCATCTCTCCCTTCTTCATGGATTATTTCGTTATTGGGCTCCTGCCCTAGGTATGCCGTTGAAGCGTTTACAGATTGGTCAACGATTCGGTCACCACTGATTACCAGTTGTACCGACGATCTCAGTTTTGAGTCTTGGATTCGTCTCTGGGCCGGTTCGTTGTGTGCGAATGTAAGTTGCCCTATTCCGTTTTGACTTACCGTTCCACGGTAGATCCGTTCGCCACATACATCGGACCTTTTCCAATTTTGTGAGCCTGTGGTCAAAACGGATGCCGGTTTCGCTCGTCTTGCGTTGGAGCATGCATCCTTACAGATTTTGTTGGAGAACAATCAAGATGGCATTGATCAGGTGAGTTAAGTAAAGTAATTTCCATATTGCACACAATACATGGAGTCTGATAAATTCAATTACGATTGCCTGTGATAAGATACAGTGAAGACAACATAGAGGCAACACCTGTGCCGGGGAAACAACCGATCAATGCATGTGACGGAGTCAAACCCAGTGACTGCCAGTTTGTTCGTGTCCAGCTGGATTCATTGGCCAAAACTAGAAAATACGGCTGGTCAGGCTAAAGTTAGTGGTCCCGTTCTGGAACCACAACGTTGGCGGTGGCACTGCCTTTCAGGCCACTCATGGAGTGCCCTTGTTTTAAACTCAAGGCTACCAGGCACTATAAAAGCAGTCACAATGAAGTTTCGCTACCCGGACTTAGACAAGTTTATCCTTCACCTTTCATCACCTATGCTCAGCTGAGCCACACGACACATGGACCATTTGGCCATTCAACAACCAATGGTTTATCACGCATCTTGTTACTTTTTGCCTGTCAGACCGTTTGAGTCAACCGAAGCTGTCCAGATAATTAATGACTAGGGCGAATGTAGTGAACAAGGTTTGCTATATGATAGTCCAGAAGATTAACCACGAAGAAAGCTTTGTTTGCAACCCGAGTTCAGCCATTGAATTGATCCCATCTCTCAATCAATACTGATCTATGTTTCGGCATAATCTCCTTTTTTGTTTGTCGTCTGTTGATTTATTACTGTGGCAGCTTGAGAAATAACAACATGAAAATACTTTTCCGCTCTGTGAATTCTGTCATGCTTACTGTCTTGAGGCTCTGCAGTACAACCTAGATGTTTTGCCCGAACTTTTTCGTCAGGTTGATAACCGAATAAGCTACCTGTACACCTTGGAATAGTCGAATAATTTCATTTTAATGCTGTTTTCCTGGTTTACAATTGGTCATACGAGATTTCCCTTACCATCATCACTCTTTACCGTGTTGAATAGATCCGTTCTGAAATACTCACCGTTCTCACCGAGGTTGATTCGGCTATGGATTCAGGGACAAGTGATCCGTCTTCGCTTAATGACGTCCTACTGACCACGACAATGTCCGAGGTAAGTGAGCTTATTGGTACTCTTGACTCGCTTTCTATGTCACTTATGCTTTCGTTTTACTCTCTACTACCCTGTCCATACCGCTTTCAGATGCGTTCTTGTGATCAAGGATGTCGTGATGCTACTCACTGGCAGCCGTGGTTCCCTTTGGCCGCTCAAACAGTATTTGGACTGCTAGATCATCTTGGTCGTTGGTATAGGGAACAAGAGAAGGCATTACGGCCTCAAAAACAAACCACACTTTCCACCAACAATAGTTCCAAATCAACATCTAAAACAGTCTCTACAGAAGGTATGTTGAACTTTCCATATCTGTGTCTTTGTAAACTCATCCAAATGTATTTTAACTAGTCACCGTTACGTTTCTCACTGTTTTCTTTCTGCTCTTTACAGCCGTTAAACGAGTAGGTGATTTTCTACAAACTATTCCGCATCTGTTACAAGCTAAGGCGAGCCTCAAATGTGGCGGATTGGCGCGTGCGCTACTTCACTGGGAATTAGCTTACGACGAAGACGAACTTGCCAACAAGTCAGCGTTCAACACGGGTGCCGCACTCATGAACTCCTTGTCGGATCGTTTTATGCCTGGTCCTGGATCCAAAGACCTCAATCAACGGACTTCCCGAAACTCTCTAGTCTTGGGCTCTACGGGGCTGGCTGCTATTGCAGGTCTGCTGGACACCTACACCTTGTTACGCGACACAGACGGTAGGCGACGTGTGCTTTACTTGATTACTTATTGAATGAACGATTACCATTAATGCGTTTCTCTGTGCCAGTCAACTATTAACCATAGTTTGGTGCTACTGTTCATTGCCATGACAGCAAAGTAGGACCAAATGTTAGTAACAAACTTCTGTGTCTTCGCCTATCGACTGTATTTCTTCGAGCATGCACCAGCATCAAAGACCTACGTTTAGCAGCGCAACTGCGAACCAGCTGTGGCCTACTATGTGTTTCAACCTCCATGAATCGGCAAATCTCCATCAGATGTCAGCTAAGCATTCGGTGCTGGAAGGCAGTGCCACATGTGTGCAAATTAATTTAAGTATCATTAATATACGTGCATGTTTCTTTGCCTGACGTCGGCTGTTTCGAAATTGTCTCTGTTATAAGCTCTCACTACCGATACTGTCTCCTAATGTAAGCACAGTTATACGCAGAACACATTAAAGGGGACTGCAAAGTTCTAAATTCTCCGTCACTTCTGGCAGGTAGCTTGGCCGGCTATATATCTCCCTTCTCGAACTCGTCAGTCTTCAGAGGACTTATCAGGGTGTCTCTTTGCCCTGAGGGTTTTCTAAACAGAATTGAATTTATCTCAACAATGTGTAGTTTAGTGACCCAGACAAGTTTTTTTTAATATTACGCGGACCTGTGGAGGTCGGGTGTCTCTATACCTGTCCTTGCAGAGCACCATTCAGTTCGGACTCGCCTGTTTAATGGGTCTAAATTATTTATGACGGTACCCTGCGGAAGCTGATAAGATGAGTATCCGATCGCCGTCTGTCACGGACCCGGTCGGCTTTTGTTTGGCTTATGGAGGTAGACTATGACTTCCGATGCGAGCGGTATCGGTAGCTCCCACATAGTTATGTGTATTTCTTATAAATAGGACAAGGCCCTTTCCTTCACTTCTTTTATGGGATAACAAAAGTTGCAGTCATGTTGCGAGGATATGCATATTGGAAATACAAGACTTGGTTTCAGACGTCCGTTCATCATACGTTTTAAGCAATGGCTTATTTGCGCCTCACTTTTCCTGCATTTTTTCTTGTCTTGCTATTGTAGAGTCCGTAAATTGTAAGAATATCATTTTTTAACCCGTGTAGACCTTTCTACCTACTTTTGCGCTGAAGTATTTGAAATGAAAGAAGAGCGGAACTGTAGGAAGTGCTCTCGGCCACACACCGCGCCTTGCATAAATAACGAGTGAACTAACATACAGATGAAGAGAGATTCAAATTCTAACGGATGGCAATATGATGTAAAGCCGTGGTCAACCAAACCAGGGTGGGTGAAATGTCTTACATAAGTGCTTTTGTGAGCAAAGGCCTACCATAAACTGCCTATTTGACAAAACCTTAAGGTGAATCTCACACAGGAAAGTTGAAGAATTGTCGACCTGGTGGCCATAGTTGACAAGGTGTTTGGCGGCAGAAAATGTGGGATTCTAGCCAAATGTAGAATAATGGGTATCGAATTGCCTCAAACAGCTCACGGTGAACATGTTTTAACCGCGCCTTAAACCTAATGTTATATCTTCCAATATTGTTGTTGCCATTTGTGCAGTCAATTTAAAGAGGATGGTTATCGTGACAGATTGTGCTTCAGAATGTCATGTTGTTGCGGTGCCTGTTTCTTGCTCACTCTGATAACATTGACAAAACAAGTAGAGTGAAAAGAAAGCGCTGACCTTGAGTTTCGATGTGAAGAAACTTCACGCAATTCCACACAACCGGTATTTTATCCCTTGCATGGACCACAGACCATTATTGGCTATCTTCGGCTCAGGCTGCTAATCACCTCCATCGCTGGGCTACTATAATGTTAGGTTACGACTTTGGCACAACTTGAAATCCGCCTTCATCGTTTTGCCATGTTGACTCACTGTCATGTCTGGTATCTCAAAAACAGTAATTACACTAATTCCAACCGATGGTGGAATCCACCTTTCTCATGAGCCGTTCATCTTCCTGTATATACCCATGTGATTGCTTTGGAATGTACGCATGACTCTCTGCTGTAGAATGTAACGGAATATTTCCCACATCAACGTTAACATTGAACCTAGTGTTGTTGCGGTGGTTCGCCGGTTTCTCCACCTTTCCACCTACTCAAGTTATGTTACCTCTTCGGTACTCCGTTCTGCTGAGTGTTCACTCCCTGTGGGTTTTGGGACTCGCTTTAAATGTTGTAGAGCATATTTGTATTTTCCCAGCTGTTTTTGTCCAAATCAACAGGTTTCCGACATTGCGCTGAACATATCCATCACTGTTTCTTCCAAGTTTTACGGCATTTCTATTCAGTCTTTGGTGTTTTGTCCACTTCAGGTCTTGCAGGTGTGCTTGCCGTGAGTCAGCTAGCTCCGGTAGCTCAGGCGCTCAGTTGGGCGAAATCCAACTCTTCAGATGAAATGCACATTCCTTTCACCCATTCAGAACGCTTCTCTGCTCTGCGGGCATTAGAGTTGGAGAACGAAGAACAGTTGGATATGGCTGCGGCAGCGTATGAACACAATCTGGCGAGCTCCGAATTAGAGTCATCACATTTGAGATCCGATTCAACATCGGCATCTGTAGATTCAACGGAGCTAAGACGGCTTATGCTATACGGAGGTCTCTTTCGGTGTGAACTTTCCGATCCGGCCAGATTACATGGTTTGGTGGAACGTGCTGGGGGTCTTATTTCTCGAGCAGACGCAAACTGTCCGGGGATCTCAGTTCATCACTCAGCTCGATGGAGGCAACGTCTGAATGCTTATCGTGCGGAAGCCGCTTGGCGACTCTGTGACTGGGGTACACTGCAGGAGACCACAAATTTGGTTAGTCAAGAGTAGAACGTCACTGGGGAATAAGTCATAGTTTTACCGTTTCATCTTCATTTTTCATCATTTTGCTTCTTCACGGCAACAGTTCAGTCTGCGCATGGTCATTTGACTTAAAAATGGCGACCAAGAGATCACCGTGAGAACCTACACATGTCTTGGGAATCACTCCCTTTTGGGCTCCATCTGTTCGCGGTATGACACCTATCAGGATGTTCTTTCTTTGAATTTTCTGTTGGAACACCATAGTAATCAATAATACCAATAACTGAGTTCTTGAACCTTCCTTGACATGTTGAATTAGAAATACATTGGAAGTGCATTAATTGACTTTCAAAGTATTCAAACGAGATCGTTTGTATTCTAACGACCATTGAACGGTTAATATCCAGACATTGTTATGTTCGCATCGTGTTCTTTGATGAGTCTATGCCAAATAGACATGATCCTCCGGATAACCTAATACCGCCATTGTGTTGGGGACACTATTACGAGAACGTCAATCCACCTTTCAGCTCAGGACACGTTTCTTGTCGTTAAAAATGTCGGCATTGTCGGCATTGCAAACATAAAGTGGGGGTTTCAGCTCATTGACTGGCAATACACACCCTAAAATCTCCATGTTTTTTGCGTATTATTTCCGCTTAAACTGGAGGAATCCAACTTTCCTATGCTTTTACTTCGCCTTTTGTTTGTCGTGGCCAGGCAAAACCCTGTTTCCTTTGTATAGCTGCTTATTTGACTGCGGCAAATCCCTTTGCCAGAAAAATCTTATGAAAGAACTTCTCATTACTTTGTAAGTCACCAAGATGCCTAGTCGTATCCACTTTATTTTAGTGAAAACCAATTAGTCATACAAGCAGAAGGTTCAGATGATTAGGTGCTCCATGTTTCTTAGCCGGATTCTTGCATTTTAAATAGCCAGAAGAATACAGCATTCACAATAGAACATATTTCTGGGGAGAACTTGCCAAATTTTATGGCGTATTACTCTTTCTGTCTGCCACTTCATGAGGAGTTCTTGACATTTCCTTACTTGTCATTTTTCAGGATCCTCAAGGCTCCTCTTGGTCTGTTGACCTTGGTAGACTGTTTCTGGCAATCAACAATAAGGTAAGTCTATATTTGACAGAAATTTAAACTAACTTATTTTGACTGTTCCTAAAAATATGATTATCACAGGAAAAGCGATGCGATGAGATTTCGCTTCTCCGCCAGGTAGCCACTTGTATCTCACATTTATTTATCCACAATCTACCCACGCGGTTGTGGTCAGTTCACGTCTTGACGATTAGTTTCTCTATTACCTTACTCCATGATCGAACAACTCCTGGTGAATAGTTCGTGTACTAACTAAAATATCACGGTTGTCTGATCAGCCGGAATTCCGTGCTTGCTCTGTGATTATCCAGTCACATTCTACCCACTTGCGTGGCCATAATCTGTGGCAGAATTTCATTAGTGAGATAAACACACTCATCTTCGCCTATCTGGTGAGCCCCAACAAGGGCGAAACCGGTCGCGCGTTGTTGAAGAGTTTTCAGCAACCTTACGTGTAGGCCCTATCTGGTAGCCCCAACAAGGGCGAAACCGGTCGCGCGTTGTTGAAGAGTTTTCAGCAACCTTACGTGTAGGCATGACGCTCTGGTTGGATGACTACTTTTTAACCATCATGTGGCGGAAACATTGTAGTTTGACGAGAAGAGTTTATCACGACTCAATAACCATTTACTAGTCATGTTCACTAATAAAATGATTGCAATTTGCCATTCCATTGTCCAAAGATGCAACCCAAACTAACATGGCCCTGTATCCAATAGTACTACTCCAGAAGACTGTTCTCGACTGCGCAGAGAACTTCCTTATAATTTAGAATTCGGTTTACTCTCAACTACGAGCAGCATAATAGCAATGTCCCCTGTCGTTGAATCTCACACTGGCTGCTCGATTTCTGAGCAGTTGCTGTCACAGCAATCCATGACCGCAGGAAGCGTCCCATGGGGTTGACTAGATTGATAACTTAGTGTGGAATATACTGAACAGGAGCAACCCAAGAATGTGGTGTTACAGCACGGGAGTCTTGATCGTCAGACGGAATCCATATTGGTATTTGTTGGTTCTCTGGTTGGAGGCCTCCGAAGGAGACACATACATGTCCCACCCGCGCACATTGGTTCTATGACTTCAAGTTCCTTCCCACATTCAAATCAGCCTTGTCTCAATTGGATCGTTGCTAGCTGATATTTTTGGTTGCTTTCCTCTTCCATCCATATCGTAATTTCGGTGAAAAAATCCGATAGGTCAACTCGCTGCCCAGCAAAAAAGTGCGCCTTTCAGCTAAATAACCTTACTGGCCCGATCACTTTTACTGCTAGTCGCTATGCTGCCACCCTCAAGACGATTATTAGCGAGCGCAATCCTGCAGCCGGACCAACTGGCCGTAAACTGATAATTCTATATAGGCTTGAGCAAACTGGCAATAATTCAGCCCCCATAGTTCGTCAGGTGGCATATCAGTTAGGCACTGAACGTAAACGATTATCATTACTTCAGCTGATGGGCTCCACAATACTGAATTAGCTGAGACCGCCTGGTTCGTTCTAGCCGGCTGCATAGTGAATTTGGTCAAGACAATCTGTGATTACTCAGTGATGCAGATCCAATGGCTTTTTTACAGCCGCTTTGCTCAATTTATCGGTGGCACGTTGGTTATTCAACTTACTTCCTATTGTTTTGGTTTGCTGGAACAGTTTTTGAGTTTTTCATTAAATAATAATAATAATAATAATAATAATAATAATAATCGTCCAGCTGTAGCAGCTAGGCACCGGCCTAGCTGCCATACCACACGAAGGAGGCACGAGGGCTGAGATACTGCCAGGTTGCCCAAGCCTAGACAGGGGAAGTCGTGTGGCAGAGGTCGGGTTCGAACCACGGACCTTCCGGTCAGTAAATTCGCGCTCTAACCACTTGGTCCATCTCGCCCCCTCACTTANATAACTTAGTGTGGAATATACTCCTTGCAACTGAGCCACCTGCTGAACAGGAGCAACCCAAGAATGTGGTGTTACAGCACGGGAGTCTTGATCGTCAGACGGAATCCATATTGGTATTTGTTGGTTCTCTGGTTGGAGGCCTCCGAAGGAGACACATACATGTCCCACCCGCGCACATTGGTTCTATGACTTCAAGTTCCTTCCCACATTCAAATCAGCCTTGTCTCAATTGGATCGTTGCTAGCTGATATTTTTGGTTGCTTTCCTCTTCCATCCATATCGTAATTTCGGTGAAAAAATCCGATAGGTCAACTCGCTGCCCAGCAAAAAAGTGCGCCTTTCAGCTAAATAACCTTACTGGCCCGATCACTTTTACTGCTAGTCGCTATGCTGCCACCCTCAAGACGATTATTAGCGAGCGCAATCCTGCAGCCGGACCAACTGGCCGTAAACTGATAATTCTATATAGGCTTGAGCAAACTGGCAATAATTCAGCCCCCATAGTTCGTCAGGTGGCATATCAGTTAGGCACTGAACGTAAACGATTATCATTACTTCAGCTGATGGGCTCCACAATACTGAATTAGCTGAGACCGCCTGGTTCGTTCTAGCCGGCTGCATAGTGAATTTGGTCAAGACAATCTGTGATTACTCAGTGATGCAGATCCAATGGCTTTTTTACAGCCGCTTTGCTCAATTTATCGGTGGCACGTTGGTTATTCAACTTACTTCCTATTGTTTTGGTTTGCTGGAACAGTTTTTGAGTTTTTCATTAAATAATAATAATAATAATAATAATAATAATAATAATAATAATAATAATAATAATAATAATAATAATAATAATAATAATAATAATAATAATAATAATAATAATAATAATAATAATAATAATAATAATAATAATAATAATAATAATAATAATAATAATAATAATAATAATAATAATAATAATAATAATAATAATAATAATAATAATAATAATAATAATAATAATAATCGTCCAGCTGTAGCAGCTAGGCACCGGCCTAGCTGCCATACCACACGAAGGAGGCACGAGGGCTGAGATACTGCCAGGTTGCCCAAGCCTAGACAGGGGAAGTCGAGTGGCAGAGGTCGGGTTCGAACCACGGACCTTCCGGTCAGTAAATTCGCGCTCTAACCACTTGGTCCATCTCGCCCCCTCATTTAAATGATGGCATATCTAAGCACGTACAAAGCGCCGAATGATCTGATTTTTTTGAACTTACAGACTCCGAGCATTGCAATGAGTGTTACGCGCGTAAAAAGCTCACTTCGGCGTCTCATAGAAACGGAAACAGCCCGAAATGCAAGATATGTCCCAAACTGAAAAAATTCCCCACACCCGACTCATACACTAACGATCCTGTCTGAATTGGTATCCAAAGGTATTAATAAACGTCGGAAGTTAAAATCTGCTTATCTCTCTTAAATTAACAACCTAGAGAAATCGATAAGTGAGCAAAAAGAATTAAGGTTGTTCATCCAGACTCCCTCATTCTCACACTGTATTTTGACTGACTCCTTTGACAGAATGTCCCGTGATTGAGTAAGATATCCTTGTGAATTGAGGAGGGGATATGATATGAGTAACGTCCATTTTTCCATCTCAGGACGACTGCAGTGTCAACATAGTTCCTTAGGCTTCTGGTTGCGATGACTGCTCTGACGTAAGATAATTGTTGCTCGAATATACCATGCCCCCTGTGCCTAAGTTGCGTGCTCTATTTGTTTAGGATTCGACTGAATTCTCATGTATGCTGTCGAAACTTCGCCTGAATCAGATGAACGAACTCAGTGCTGCCGCTCTCGAGGGCCCTGGAGGATATGCACGTGCATACGAAACCATTGCTAGGCTAAGTTCGTTGTCTGATGTGGAGTTGTTGTCTTCCTTAGGTGAGCGCCTTCGACTCGTACTCAGTGGTGATTCTGTTCGGAACGGAGCATCTGCTCTGGCTTATCGGAAGTCGGATGGGGACATCCAGGTTAGTTCGCTATTTATTATGCGATGCGTGTGAAGTGATTTTTGTGTGTGGATGATCGGTCCGAGAACCTGAGTTGGTTATAGCCTGACCAAAGAATCCTATGATTCGGTCCATGTCTGACGGTTCTGTTTCATGATGCACCAAAGTGATAAACACGTCCAAACCCAAATGACCCTTCAAAATTTCATCTTTATTGCTTTAACCAAGTTGGATGATAGGTAGATACCGAAAGGATGTCAACGAAACAGGTTGGTTTATTTTGAAGTCAATGTAATGTGACTACCTTTGAATGTGCTATAACTGCGGTGAAGTCTTCGTGTAAATATCCCGTAATTCATACACATACACTTCTTTGTCCATATTAACTCTTGTTTCGTGATCATCCTGGGAACTGCTGATTGTGTGCACCAGCTTCAGTGGAGACAACACACTAGGTGTTAGCAATACTTCTAGTCCCACAATCTCCTTTCCCCGAGAGAAGTCTCCTTCGTCTAGAGGATATTTTTGATGCTAAGCAGTATTCTCCATCATCGTTTCACTTAGTAAACGAAGTCACACAGAATGTGGCAGAACACACCCTCTAGTTCTCTTAGTGACCAGTTTACATTCTAAGACGAAACACCATAATAGATTTGTCCTGTGCCACTCACCTGACTTTTCCAGTTGACCGTAATTTTTAACGGACGATGTCGCAGGCACTGTTGATAGGCCCTCAGTATTCGCACAATGGAATTGAATTTCCGAAAGTTATGACGTATCCCTGATGAACTAAAGCTATCGGGCAATTAACTTGAGATACCAGTACAAACTTTTAAACCCCGTTTAGGCATCCCGGGATCTCATCGATGCTCGGAAATCATCCCACAGGACTTTTCAGCCAGAGGCATGGTTGTTTCAGTGGTCAATGAAATTTGGTGAGCTGTAAAAATGTGAACGTAGATTGCGACGGTTTTTGGACTGAGCACATACGCAACAAAATGCAACATTTCGGTGTAGAACGTTTTACTCCATTTGTAAAAGTTTTGCAGCTGAGAGCATTGTGCGAATGATCGGCTCCCTGTTGATATGCTGTCTCGGCTCCTCACAGGCCCCTTCCTCATTGAACTGGTTCTGGATTGGCCGATAATTTAGCCAAGTTTCATTTATCACCGTCACACTACTGAGTGGAAGTACTGCAGGTTACAAATGGTGTGGTGTAATGGATTATGACTAACTATTTATCAAATTCGTCCTAAGTGTTGTTGCTGTTATGTAAGGACGAATTTCCGCGGCTTGCTGTACATCCTTGTGCTTCCTACTTGAGCTTAGCTAGATGATACAGCGTTTGTTGTTGGCAGTAACGTAGGTAACTGGGTCTGGCAGTCACATCGAGATTTGCCACATTACACTGTACACGTCTCCTATGGGTGCGCAACTATGTCAGACGAAACTGGATATTGCGAAGGATGTTTACAAACGGTGTTCGTAATTCATTCATGATCAGTCGGTCTCGACAACTACTAGCCTTTAGCCGCTGATACTTTATTTGGTACATGAGTTCCATGAGACCTCAGCTACTTAATGTCCAGTAACTTAGGACAAGTGGTGAGTGATTCACCGAATTGTTAGTTATGAAGTTCGACCCTAATGAGACCTATGCTTAGGCACATTGTTCAGCCAGCAATATATAATCATGTTGGAAGTTACTTTTCGCACCAAGGCTAACATTTTCTCTACACATTCGCACAAAATGCAAAGTTTCATTACACCTAATCTGTTAATTTTGTCAATCCTAGACCACTGTGTAAATTTCTTTCCCGTGTCTCTGCTCCTCCCAATTTACGTACTTTTAATGCAGACTCAAGTAGAGTCGGTCCTCACTCTCCTGGATACGCGCCTCAAAATTTGTCAACCAACGTTTCACACATTGGAACCTTGTCTTGCTCTACACCACACATCGTTGCACTTGCTATGGATGGAACTCCGTTCCTTGGCTGTCGCCTCACCAAACGATCAGCTGATCGCCACACTGCTCGACCGTGTGCGTCTGGCTCTGGGTCAGAACTGGTTACAGAGAGCCAAACTTACTCGGAAGTAGGTTTTTGATCGTTGCGTCCTGTTAGTAGAATAATCGTAATTTCAGTAGTGATTGTCATCTGTGACCCGCGATACAGCAACTCATTTTTCGCCGCACCTGTCCACTTCTGCTGTGGTACTTCAGAGGGGTTTGATTGTGTAGTTGCTTCCCTGTGCAAGGGCAACCGCAGGAAACCAAGTGATTCATTCTGTGAGGTGTTTTCTCTTGGGCGATAACTCTTGACCATAGGACCTGTCGATAGGGCACACGTCAGAGTAACCAAACTACCCCCAAGTACAGAGCGACAATTCTGGAGGGTTGTGTGAACATGTCTAAATCTCTAATAGCGATCAGTGCATTAGTCATGAACCTGCTTCCCATAGTGAGGTGACCAAGTGGAGAAGTTTACTTTCTAAAGAATTGAATCGTTGATAACGTTAAACACCCTGCTCCGCTTGCGATTCGTCACTTATCGTGTCCATTGATTGTTTCTACGTATGGATTTCCTATCCAATTTAATGATCATATTTGTCATGTTCGTACAGTATATAGTTTTATGTTAATCTCTTGAAAAACAGTTCGTTATTGCCGCGTTAACTTTTGCCTACTGGGCATAACAATATTCAAACTCTGTTATATTTCCCCTATGCTTGGTGACAAGTCTGTAACGCAGCTTTGTTTGCCTCAATTAGTGTCAGAGATTTCCTCCTGTGAACATTCACACCTCTTCAACACCAGCACTTATTGAGTGTTCAGCCCTTCCTGAAAGCGAGAAAAAACTTCCGTGGATTCGGTAATCGTGACTTTCGCTGCAGATCCTTCTGACTGCACTCCGCTCAAAGGCATGAGACTGAAGGGCACTTGAAATGTGGATGGTAATGGCTGTGGGATACCGCATTTGAAGGCCAGCAGCCTTTTTAGATTGTTACAAAGAAAGTATAGGATAATGTCATCAAATATGAATAATCTGTGTTGGTTCTAGCTGCCACTACTGAATGTTAGAATTGCAAGTGACAGTTCCAGATTCTGCCATATGAGTGCAGCGGTAATAGCACACTGATTGCAAACGCGTGTCTTAGGGATTGTTTCCCGATTGGTTTGGCGCAATTTAAGTTATGACGGTGTTTAGTTACATGTCTGTTCAATTGACTCTGTAACTTCCGCCCCATACGTTACCGACGTATGGGCATAGGTGTTATCCTCTCTGCTGCAATGAGATGCTTGATGTGTGTGACCTAGCAAGAGGCGACTGATTCCGAATATTGGGTTACTGGTACACAGTGTGTTGGGCCACATATCTGATTGGTCTGGAGAGACCTTCAGTGGAGCCGTGTAAACTGTGTAGAAACATCCCAGAAATCCAGGAACTTGGCCTACCTTCCTGTTGAAACGAGTGGATCCCGCCAATCTGGGGATTCGCACTGAGCACTATTTTTTTCTATTGGGATAAAGATGTTCGACTTTGTCGCAGTATAGGCAGAAAAACTCCATCATGTATATCATATTTGTTGTAGTTCAAGTGCCCAAGTCACAATTTTAGGATGATAGTGGTGGGAGGCCTCTCATCTACCGTTAACCAGTGTATCATTTTGGAACGCTTAAGGAGGGGTTACCCGAATATCACGTTTTTGGTAATGACGCCTTGATGTCGAATTAGAAGCTCTCTTCGGCCTCAAATTATCTATGCCGTTTCGTGGAGACTTGTATCGAAGTCTTTCATCGAGCTTATGTCCCAATGTAGTTTAGTTATACACTTCTCATCAGAATTCTTAATTTCCGTTGCTCGATGGGCGGAATAGCATCTGTATGGTTTCATCTCTGCCTGTTTCGGGGCGGTCTTTTCTTCAATTCTCTCTCTCTTCATCAATTCTCCAATACTCTTCAGCACGGGCGATATCGTAACCAGATGGTTGTCGATTAGAGATGGAACCGGGCAATCTCTTCTATAATTATCTTGGAAATCGCACTGTCTTTGTTGTGACTAGTTGGGCAGTTTCTTTCTTGGGTCGGTTTTGTTTTGGAGTTGCATTTCGCATTAGCAACCCCTGCAGCAACAAACTATGAAGTCAGAAGTCTAGGATGTCAGATACAGATTGACTTACGTGTCTTTTAGCCTTATAGGTATCTTGGATTTCGTTTATTTACGTCAATGAGTAAGACGTGAGTATTTTATTGCAAGGCACATGGCGACTTTTACCAAGCTTGACGAAACACATTTAGAATATTTCCAAAACCAGTGGTACGTTGGTATCGTTCAGTGTTGTTTATTAGCTTTGTAACGTTGGTGTTTTTCTATATTTCGTATACGCTATTGGGTTCTTGGCCTTTTTAGGTTTTGACTGAATCTGAAGAAAGGCATTCATGAAGCCTTAGGAGGTGGAAATGGCCTATTCAGGGAGGGAAAGTCTAATAGAAAAGTGATGCCTAACATGCTCTTTCTTCGAAGGGGTGGCTTTTCGATTCAGATAACTAAATCAGGCCGAATGGTGCAAGAATTTCGAATGCTGTCGAAACGAGCAACAGGTTGTCTGCTGGTCACTTCCCTGTATTTTGTAAGCCTTTTTTGTGCCTTTTCATGGACCTTCCACAGTAGCAACCCTTGCTCATGCTCACTTATTTCTGTCATCGCTTTAATTCTATTCAGATCCGGTCAATTTATGGCTGCTTACACATGTGTTTTACGTGCCGAAGCCTTTGGGATTCCTCAGGCACTTATTGAACGTGCAAAGCTGTTGTGGCAAACAGACAAAAGAGAAGCTGCCCAGGCTTGTTTGGACAAAGGGATACCAGAACTCTACGGGACTTTCCCGAGCGAGCCGCATTCAAGCGTCACTTCCATAACAAAGAACCCACTAATCTCAAAAAAGTCACTCCAAGAGGTCAGTAGGTATTTTGTTAGTTACTGTTTATGTTCGCTCTCTATCGATGTTTGCATCACCAATCAAGAAAACTTATATCAGAGTATTTCCTTGCACGAACTTCACGTTTGAATCGATGAATCAATACTGAATCAACCACTCTGGGTCTATGTGACCGGACACTTGAATAGCAAAGTTCAACTCTAAATATTATCTCGAATAGGTGTCTGAAAATCCATAATCCCAAAAATCGTATTTCCATATTCAAAGTAGCTGAGAACAGAATTGCAACCTTCATTGAGTTTAAGATGTACTAGTTCTGTAGACTTACCATCAGACAAGATGAACCGTCCATTGAGTAGATAAAGAACAGACGTAGAAGTCGAGCTGGGGAACATCAGAGCTTCTTGGCATCAACGCTTGCAAGGTACTTGCTGTCACAGAGTTGCTTTAGGTCATCTTTCTTTTCAAAGTACTTTTTGTTTCGCAGGATGGCTCCATTGTAGACGTGGTTTAGGCACCTAATTTCGAGTCTAATAGGCATTGATAAAGCTTTAACCTATAGCCACCGTCCAACTCTCTGAATCCACGACCAGAGGTTAGTCGGTCGTTTGGCTTCTGTGACTCTATGTCTGTGGATCACGAAGTATACCTACCGGAAATCTGCTCAGCCCTGGCAACCACACTCACTATTAGCTAGTAGCTCGACGCAAACAAGCGACTGATCAGTCTGTTCTTCAGCGTTTGCACCGTCCCATTCACCCGGTCCCCTACGCACTTCGACCTAAACGTTCGCTGACCCCTATGTCCTTAGATGTCCGCTCGCCTGACCTATGTCAAATCAACTGCCTATGTTTCTATGTTACCGAAACAACAAGCTTTAGCACTGGCTTCTTTGTAACAGCAGTCATACGTTTCGGCGTTTTCGGCTACACGCTACTATATTTTGTAGCTCATCAGTGGAGAACACTGCCGCATTCGAACGCCAGCCCACCGTGTTCAGTAGTGAATCCAAACTACCTCACTACGTCTTTCAATAGGCGAGGTCTGTTTATGTCTACCGAACATTTCACCAACAACTGGAATGTTACAATCACTGTTGTTTTAAGCACCGTTTCCGAATCTTGCAGCAGCGACGATTGAGATGTTCTCTGAATGTCGCACGATTTCGGTAATCTCTCCCCCCCCCGCTCCCCAGGCCGCAGCTGGTTCGTCGGATAGCTCGGTTGGGGACTCCGTTTGATCCCATGGATAAAGTTTCCCGGACTTAATCCGGGAGAACGACCAGAACCAACCGTTCCGTTGATCTGTCTGGACTTTTCAAACCACCTAGGTGACCGTCGCCTAGTGGATTAAACATCCACTCACATTCACTTTTTAAAATTTATTTAGCGGTTGCATCTTAGTTCCCACTCTCTACAACTCCTGTATTGACACCGGGTACTATAGAGCACACTTTGTCCCAGAGAGTTTGGTAGACGAGATCGATGCCTGAACATCGAGGGCTACAATTGTTTTTGATATTTTTCTCCATTGATCTTGTCAGAACGGTATATCATTCGGTTTCAGGTGTCGTGTTCTTAAGACTACCATGTAGATAGTTTTTTTTACATGCTAGAGAGAACTGCCGAACGATCTAATCTTGCTGTGCAAGTGAGAACTCAATTGAGCAACTTATCTGGCCGAGTAAATTATGGTGGTTTGGTCGTGTCCCAAACATCCCCGGCCATCGTTGGGTGAGCACAGTGCAGTTTTTTCTACTTACTTCGGATTTCGCAAACAAAGAGGTAGAAATATCAATTCAACAAATGAGCATGAAGGGGATAATCAAGGACTTGGATACTATCAGCGCTCCTCGCCCTACCCACGCGGTTCTCAGAAGAAGACCTCTAAAAGAAGGCCGCCAACCGATTTTATTGAAGACCCTGCAGCTGTGTTGTATACTCAGGCGTTACAAGATGTAGGCATCTTTAAAGTGAAGCATGGGTGTATAGCACTGGTGTCGGTGTTAATGATGACTATAGTGCTCACCGCTAGAAGGAATAATAATGCTGGAGAAATACTACCCTACTTTCGATTAAACATACGCTTCACCGTTTTCCTTCAGGCAATGCTCTTACGTGCTCGTTATTGTGAGGAAACAAATCGTTTTGATTTCGAGGCCACACAACGCATGTACGAGGAGGTTTGCACGCTTAACGAAGGTTGTGAGGAGGCACATTTCCGTTTGGCCCGCTACGTAGATCAGGCATGTTCCCTGGCTACGGTGGCCAAGCAACACGAGTGAGTTGCGTTATTTTTTTTCCAATATTTGGACTGGCCAGCTGATATACAACAACCATCCTGAACAGGGGCTACTCACAGTACTAATCCGAGTGTGTTTGGTTGAGGGTAGCTTGTCGTCTGATTGGAGGCACATCGAGTGACTATCAATAACACAGGATGCGTTTTTTACAGTGGGATAGATTTACGGTCGTTGGCTACCACTAAAACACGTACTCGGTTGTAAATATGCGTACAGCTTCGGGCCTCAAGGTTCCTCTATACGCATGTGAATGTGCCCCCAACATATCGATCTTAGTCACACTGTTGTCTGCTTTCACTTGAACTATCAGCGTGTCTCATTGCACCGTTGTCGGATTTGGTGAAACAGCGTGGCTGTCTGCCGAGTGACTTCTGCCAATTGGGAGCCAGATGATATCGTGTTTGTGTCATTAAAATCGTCAGCCTTATCTGAACACTGTATTTTGACAGCTCATGATAGTTTTCTCCATTCCTTCATTCCTTCCATCCGTAACCTGGAGGATGAAACAGCGACCTCAAATGATACCTTAGTTCAACGTTTCGCGTCCAACTTTGGTGTTTTTTTACTTAGTCCAGCTGGCATCACATTACGTGCCGGTGCCTGCTGATATTCTGAACTGTAGCTTTCAGCCAACCCGACTTCAAGCACATTTTATTCAATCCACCTTTGTCTCTATTAGAAAGCCAGATTAGGCAACAGGCTAGCCTCGCGTCTCTCCCGGAGGAGATTCTTATCAAGTTATCATTAAGCAGTAGTCGACAAAGGCACTCAACCAGACGACCACCCTGGAACCGAGCTGCCTTTCTGCACGGAATATTTCGACGTGCACTCTCCACTCAGACAAGTTTAGTGGTGTCTACTCTAGCTCATTTAGCATTTATGAAGAATACAGATAAAATCATGTTTCGATGTCTCCAATCACTCCGACAGCAAATGTTGTTGATATTGCAAGAAATCTGATGATTTTCTGCCAAAATAGTCGTAAAAGGCCGGGGGAAACAGAACTGTCCTGATCCTTGGTAGTCTCATACTCACTGGCAATTCCTAAGTTCTTCCTGAAGCTTTCGTTAAAATCACGGCCAAAATTAGGAACGTTCCAGTGACCCGAAAAGGTGCTGGAAGACAAAGCCTCACGAGTCCACCATATTCTTTTCTAGTGGAAATATCACGTCTCCAAATAGCCGAATTTCCTTGACGTAATGTTCCTTAGTATTTATTCCGCCACATAAAATTGTGCTTGGATGAGTTCAGGTTGCTACGATGGTGATACAGTATGATATTATGTGTTCGCAGCACCCATCGCACTCTGGTCAAGCGTTTAACCAATCCATTTCACCTCATATCCGTTTTGTCAAATAGTCTTATCATGACTTAGTCCTCTACCCGGACTTAAACTAGTGCTTGTACACGTGTCATCACAGGATATAACCGATGATGAAAAAACTAATCGCTCAGCTGTAGCGCCTTTTCAGTGCCTAGTGATCATGACACTCGAGCCCGAGGGCTGAGGTACTTTGAGGTTCCTGATTCCCCTTCGAACTTTACGTTTTCGTTTGGAGTTCACCCAAGTAAATATCCATGTTTTTCCTTCATGTCAGTTGTAGTCAAACCACGGTGTTCCTAGCTACTGCTTTACTGTGCTACGCCTGTGTCCGTTTCTATTTTGGATGACTCTGTAATGAAAAAAAGTAGGTGATTAGAAAGAACATGATACCGGTCTATCGTAAACAGCTTAATTATACAGTCTGCTTAGCGAATGACAGCACTAATGGTGGGCATCATAATGAATATGGTAGCTAAATCGAAACGACTCGGCATGCATGAAATATGAATTGAATAACTTCATCCACCTTTGGTGATCTTTTTTCAGCACGTTGCTTAAAGCAGCATTGACGCACTACGGTTTGGCTTTGAGCTACGGCAGTCAGTTTATCTATCAGTCAATGCCGCGACTGTTATCTTTGTGGTTGGATTACGGCAGTGATTGTGCACGTCATACTGGTGCGCCAGTTTCCACAAAATCGAATGAATCTCGGGTTCCAACCGATCAGCGAACGTTTCAAGAAGTGCAAGAGGTTAGTTTTTGCGGTTTTCTTATGCATTTCTCCCGTTTGTTGTATTAAACTCCAACTACGCTCTTATTTTTCATCTTGTTTTTGTTGCATTTGCACTCCTTTTCACACTTTCACTTTGTGCCAAACAGTTTGACTTTTATTATAACCGCAGTCTTTTGCAGTGCTTTTGTGAGCAGACGTTTTCGATAACTCAACTTTCGTGTGTTGGTTTGTAGGTAGTCAGAGAACTTTAAAGTTTCAAATCATACATCAACCTGTGAGTGCAGCTAGTCTTTGCCGGAAGAATAATGAGCTGCTTGCTGCTTGTTGAGAATCAATAGCAGTGAAACTCTATAGGGATTCGGACTCACGACATTGCAGATAGTAGTTAAACACTATACCATCGGTAAATGCGGTGTTCAACCATTACAACAAATAATTCGTAGCACTCTCGAGATTCCTAGGATAGGCACTTACTGGTAACCAACAAAATGATGAAAACAGTTGTGCATTGCTTCCGAGTCGCTGAAACTAGGTTGACGTGCAGAATAGGTCATGACTTAGTCAGGTTAGCCTAATGTTTGAAGCACGTTTTCAATTCCTCGCGACGAGTGCGTAAAATCTGGGATCGGGAACATGTGATTAAATAACCTTTTCTAGGTTTACTTCTTGAACCCTTCTTCCCGACGATCCCTGTACGATTTTTAATCCCCTATCACTAGTCTTCCTTCGTACCCAATGCGCTTTTATTACTTGAAACCAGACGTCATAGAGCACAACTATAGTTCCTTTTTAATGCCATGAATTTATCGATCACGTGATTACTGTACCAAAAGATCAGTTCGCTTTTTACACTATAGCCAAAAAGGCTCGCAGGCGGTTCACTGTTATTATTCGCAGGGAGGTGGGTTGCACGTTCCCGTGCAAGTTCAACGTGGATTCTGCTTTTTCATTGAAGATATATAAACTTTGTATGCCATGCGATGTGTACTTTCACATTATGTCCACTGAAACGTAGAACAACATATCCGTCCTCAATCGGTCTTCTGAACTCTGGTTCGGAGAGTTTAGGGATGAGCAGCTCGGTGGACTTCTGGTAACGGCGGATCTTACGAAGAGTGACGGTCTCAAGCCTGTAGCGATGGAGTTTCTTCACACCACCGGTGGCTTGTTCACTTTTGCGCGTGGCCTTGGTCGCGAGTTTCTTCCTCGGGGCCTTCCCGCCAATACTCTTGCGGCAGTCTGCTTGGTGCATGCTATCTCTGTCGTGCCGCCTAATTGCATCTTTGCAGCCGAAGCAATATCGTAGCAAGCTGACTGTCACGTATGATCCAAAGCAAATTTACCCATTTGCTTCGCTCTCAGTGAAGATTGTATTGGTTTGTCTTCCGAATAATGGTACGAACCACACTCGAATATCAGGTTACCTTGTCTAGTTCTGTCGCATTCAATCGACAGGGCCTGGTTGCCTCTGTTGCATCTGTTTGTGAGCACTCGTGCGCTGAAACGCGGGGTTAGTGCATTCATTAGCTGTTGGCTTTCAGTACTGTTTAATATCTAGGTACGATGTGATCTCAACTGGTAAAGTTCGGTTAGTTAGCACAACTGGAAAGCCTGGGCTGGAACGATATATGGAGGCTCGTGATTGGCACGCTTTGCTATCTGTCCATAACTTAGAGAAGTAGGTTCTCTGGTGGGATCAGGTCTCAGCTGGTATTCTATGAAGCAGTCATATCGGTAAGTTTCGATATCTTTGTTCGTATTCGCGTATGAACGTTTTTTTACCCTCATATCCATATGAATGTTTGGTGCGTTTTTTCTCCACTAGTGTATGTAGAAATACTTCGTTCGCAGCTCTGTCCCAGACCAAAGTGACAGATGGTTCCCGTAAGGCTACCGTTCTCCAAACTTCGAGACACACTCTTGTAGTTATTGCGCTTTCTGTACCCTGGAATCTAGGAGAGCCTGTCTTCCCCCCCCCCCCCCCCGACCGCCC